AGAACAAAGAAAATAAGATGAGCAAAGGACTATCTAATAGACCTCAGAGCAGATCTGCAGGGTGATGGACTCATTAATCCAGCAGGGTTTTCTGTCTCTTATTTTTTATGTTTATTGAAGGGTGGTACATTTGGTAGAAAGTATTTTTGAAAAAGCATTACATGGTTCTTCCAGCTCCTGCAAGCCTGAGTAGAATGCTGACTTTTTAGGTTAAAGCTTAAAGCTTCTGTGTTCTTACAGGTGAGCCAAGTCAATGTGCTTGCAGATGTGTGCAGAGCAAATAAATTGTGATTTCTGGTCTGCTCAACCAGTGACTTGCTGTGTCAGCTTCAGCAAGTTTTGGACTCGCTTCAGAAGTGGTGTTTAACAAACTGCAACACTAAGCATCCAACATTAACAGAATTCACAACCCAAAGTTAGGAAGTTACTGTTCCCCTGTGAAGTGGGGCAGTGCGAGAGGTGGTCCGTAAGAATGGGAGCCATGGTAAGAAAAACACAGCTGATTAAGCACTTAGATGTTTTATTTCAAAACCAGAGTCTCTTCAGAATGGTAGTAGTGGTTCTGCTGCTGCAACCCTCCCCTTGCCTTTAAACTGACAGCTCAGTGTTTGAGGAGCTAACCAGGACGCAAGAAGTCTGTTTCTAACCCATTTTCTACCAGATCGTTCTGTTAAAGGTGCTTCACTATGTACGGAATAATTAAATTTTCTTGGAAACGGTGAGCAAATGAGAATTAGCTTGATGCCTTGGAGGAGGACAGAGGAGTATTTGTAGCTCTTCTGAAATCAGCCCTTCATGTTTTCTCTGTACACTTGTTTGCAATAAATAGGACCAAGCAAGGGCATAGCAAGGGTAAAGATGGGAGCTGCCTATTGCAGCCCAGTTGCGAGAGTCCTCCAGCCTGGGACTGAACTCTGCTGGGAGGGTTAACGTACCGTGAGGTGAGGTTTAGTGACTGCTTTTCTCAAGTGTAGGATTGTCCACAGCCTGGTAGGACCCATCTGTTCATACTCACTCTCTGCCTGACAACAGTGAAAATAGGAGATATGTAATCCACAGACCATATGTACTGGGCACGTAGTGAACGGGGGTTTTGCCCATGGGTCTGCTAGCTGTCTTCTGAATAGAAAAGTGAGGATCTCTCTTGCTATATGAAGTGAAGAAGCTATAGATCTTCCCTTCTTTGCTCCAAGAACAGGTAGAAGTAAAACACAGGTAGGGGTTTAGCTCTTCTTACTTAGTATTAATTTCCTAAAAATCGGGAGGCAGAAGCCCCCTGTGTGGACAATTCTTGCAGTTACACGTTTTCAGTTAAACTCACCAATAAATACATTCACTGATTCTGTAGCACCTTGACAGTACATTATCCTTGGGCTCCTCCAGGCCTGTACAAAGAAGTAACTTGGCCTCCTCCAAAACCCCATGCATCTGGATCTTCTCATGAGTATTTTCACATCCTTCAAGTAGACATGGGCATGTTTTATGTTGTCATTTTTATTTTTCAGACTCTAATTGAAACATTTGAAAAAATTGGTACCACCAACATTGCAGATCTTATTGCTGGACTCCTCACCATTTTTGTCTGCATGATTGTTAAAGAAATAAACGATCGGTTCAAACACAAGATACCTATACCTATACCAATAGAAGTTATTGTGGTAAGCAAAGGAGCGTAACAAAACCTGATAACAGATAAAATAGATGGGGCTAGCTACAGGAAGACAAGTACCCTTTTTAAGTATTAAAACTGTTGTTTTATTTTATTACAGACAATAGTAGCCACTGGCATTTCATATGCTGCTGACTTGGAAAAAAAATACAATGCAGGCATTGTAAAGAGCATTCCAAGAGGGTGAGTGCCTTTGTTTTCTGGGCAATAGGTATTATTTTAATTGGCTAAAAATTACAGCAGTAAAAGAAAAGACATAAAAGAGATATTGAGAGCTGTAAGCTGAGCTTAGGACTCAGAGCTGGAGATGTCCTGAGCATTACTTCTGGCTATGTCAATTATGCCACCTAAATATGTTGCCTAGCTCTCCTTCATCTGTAAAATGGGCATAGGAATGTCTACCTGATTCACAATGTTCATCTGAGAATTAATTTCTTCATGGTCATGAAGTTAATATATGAATATGGAAAATGTAAAAAAAAAAAATCAAGGATCTTTAGTAATGAAATTCTGCATAGATTTAATTTCCCTAGACCTGAGTTCATATTCATGCCACAACTGTTATCCCAATCAGTCTTCTCACTTACATAGTCATAGGAGCAAGGATGTTCAGGATTACACTGGTAGAGACTTTCACTTGAAAGATTCAGAGCACTTCACAGTAGTAACCTTCACATTCCATTTGGTATTCAGGGCTTGATTAATTAAAATTTGTGGAAACACAGTAGGGGATAAGACGTTTTTGAGATCTTCCAAAGAAGTATGTTAACAATAGTGTGAAGTGTCATTAACATATTTATGTAATTCATCATACTGTTCAATACATCCTTTATTCAATGCTTTAAAAAATGTACTTTTTCACTTTGCTATCATAAGGCCAAATCTCAGTCATGCTGAGAACAATGGGAGCTTTGTGCTGACTAATAGCATCAGGATTTGGGCTATGGTGAGCTAGATAAGCGTGTTCTGTATGTCAATGGGCTGTTTCCACCTTTTTATTAACTTGAAACATTACACTTCATATTATAAGCAACCTGTGTGCCTCCGCCTCAGACTCTTTGACAATGCTAGTAAGAACAGAATTTGATCAAAGTTGGTAACACTAATATGTTTTCTAAATGCTAGATTTTTGCCTCCCGAACCTCCAGACGTCAGCTTGTTTTCCCAGATGATAGCAGCCTCCTTTTCCATTGCTATTGTTGCTTATGCTATTGCTGTATCTGTGGGAAAAGTATATGCAACCAAGTATGACTATGCCATTGATGGAAACCAGGTATGTATAACCCAGATAGATAGTTTATAAACATAGTGAATATAAGTTCTTTTTCATGTTGACTTATGTAGCCAAATGAAAGAAACATCATTCACACACATTTTTCAGACTAAAGTTGAAGCCTGACAGGAGAAATTCTTTCAACTGTTGAAAAGAAATAGCTGAAACGGACATATATTACCTGACAAATTTACCACAGAGATGAGCCAGATGTGCTCCATCTTCAGTATGGGCTTTGCATACTAATTAATTCCTTCTGTATTGCTTTAGTGACTGCAGTAGCTCTGAAAAGGTAATTCAAGCTAAGCACTGTATAGGGCAATTTTCTGGTGATGTCGAGTTGGCATGGCCAGCTTTAGCAACCTGCTTTCCATTTCTACTTGTAAGGCATATTTTGAGGTGCGTTGCTGGTGGGTGGAAGGCAATGTCAAGCTAAGAAGCTGCTGCGGACAGCTTTATTTAGGCTTAGTCTACATGCAGGATTTGTATCGTTGAACATTTCAGTCAAGGCACGATTTTATTCCTACAGAATAAATTATTCTCAGCATGACACCAGTTACATCCATATAAATATACTTATAACTTATATAGTCCTGCAGCTTCACAAAAGTCAATGCCTACCAGCCTATGAATATACTTGAATAACTGCCTGCACCAAATGGCTGAATTGTTTTAACCATTGGTTTCTAAAGGCACATAGCTAGAATGCTACATGAGTTATGCATTGACAAGCTCTTAGAGGATTCCTTTGGTGGTTCAGTGTCTTCGCCAGAGTTTAGGTGGCTTGCCCACGGGTGTGGGAGAAAAATGTTGGAAAGCTTCCTTGTCCTGCATCTGTGCTAATTTTGAATTTTATCCTTTGAAGATATGAGAAAATACACTTACTACAATAAACAGATAAGCAGAGTACTTTGCTTAATAAATCCTTTATTTTAGCACCAATGGATTATATAAAGTTTGATTTTGGAAACACTGTTTTGCAGTATGTCACAAAATTGTACTTCTGAACATGCTGGTCACTTTACTATACGCAAAGTTCATATCTGGTAACACTGTGATTTAAAGCTGCCTAGAATGCATTGACTTTCAGTTTAATAAATCTGAATGAACAATACATATTCCTGGAAGTGCTTTTTATGCTGTTCTTTTGTTGAATATGCTGTTCTGCCAGCACCGATGTGCTTCAAAGATACTAATTAAATATTGTAGTAGTAGAATTACTGTCTAAAAAAGCAAAGTGCCTTCCTTTCAATACTATGCTATGAATTTTACACAGAGCAAAGGTTAAATGCAGCCATGAATGATAGGCAAATAGTTTACTTGAACTGGAGAAGTTAAAATAACATCATGAAAGCAGGTAGTAAAATAATTTTGAAAGATGGGTCAATACTATTTTCTGCCAGTGTTTATTTTGTCTTCATAGATTCAGAGATTATTAAGACCCAAGAATGCTAGGAACTATACTTCCAACATTTTCCTGCAGAGCACAGCTGTTACACAGGAATAGGCATGAACCATCTAGGTCTGGTCTGTTAAAAAAGGTGACTTCAAAATCCTGCCATTGTAGTTGGATCTTAATGAAAAGCTTACAGGAAATTTCATTTTGGAGAAAAGAAGGGAGAGAGTCAAAATCAAACCTTAAATTCATTTTCAAAAAGTTGCAGAGAGTGAAAAGCTCTTGTGACTCTGTCAGCTTGGTGAAAACAATGTTTCTGTCAATTATATGGGATTGCAGGCAGCTCCCAAATGCCTCATTTCCCAGCAGAGGAATGGCCCAGATCCCAGGACATAAAGCTCCCAGGGTCCTGTCACTTGAGCAGAACAACCAGCATCAGTAGGCGCCAGCATCTGTGACCCCAGGGCAAATCTATGAGAACGGTGCCTGGGACTCAGCGTGGGTTCATTGGGACGTTCAGAGTGAAAAACTTCTGGCTCAACAAACTAGAAGTTTTCAGTGAAACTGTTTTATTGCAAAGTTCCTGATTAGTTCTACTAATAATACAATGCTTTGCATTAATTAAGGGCTTGTCTAAACTCAGACTGTTGTACTGATTTAAATTATTTGTTTAGCTAATGTTTAGCTTGGGAGTTAAATTTATTCTAGTCCTATTTCTTGATGCAGTTATACTAGTGTAATTCTTAGAAATGTTAGGTGTGATAATATTGATGAAAATAAGCTTTAAATGTCTTTATACTAAGACAAGTACCTCCACATCAGGGAGAATATGCCAACTTCATTGCATTGTTTTCCAAACACAGGTATTGTAAACATTTAACAGCTATTACTAATCCATACTCTTCTCAATATTATTGTGCTACCTACTTTATAAACTGCTGTAGAAGCTATTGTCATTCTCCATTACAAAATCGTCTTCAGGCATCTCTATTTAGAGCATCATCCTGTTATCTTTCAGGAATTTATTGCCTTTGGGTTCAGCAACATGTTTTCAGGTGCCTTTTCTTGTTTTGTTGCAACTACTGCTCTTTCACGGACTGCAGTCCAAGAAAGTACTGGCGGAAAGACTCAGGTAATGACCTCTTCTTACTAATGCTGTGCATGGCTAAATTTAACCTTGTATAGGGCACGACTTTCATGATGGGATGAAAACAGTCCTAAAATGATTGTGTTGCTAGAACATGGAAAGCCACAGCTATCTCAGCAGTTTGTGCTCTGGCAGGGAATCATTTTTGTAGCTCTGCCAGAAGAGGGCAATCAAGTTTTACATAGCATGAGTTACATGAGGGGGTCAGAAATCCTTCCAGCCTAATTCCCCAGAATTTCATTCCCAATTAAGGGTCTGAGTTTGTCACAGTAGCAATTCAGGATGAGGGAGGAACTCCCCTCGCAGCTGCCTCTGAGGTACTTAAGCTCCCATGTGCTGGCCCGAGCAGCCCTGCCACTTGCCATTCATCATTTGCCCAGGTGCCATCTTTCTCATGTTGAGGAGCTACTCTGTTTTACAGTACTACAGCTTTGCATTTTTTAACGGTGGAGAACTACAGGTTCTCCAGCAGCCCCTTTTCTGACTGACACACAGACTCTGCTCCTTTCATCTGTCTATGCAACGTAACCCCTCCAAGAGCTACTAGCTTGCGTGCAGTTGTTTACACTACCTGCTTAATTGAATTCCCTCTGTGTTAGCTGAGGGAATAATGATTGCCCACGTATGCCTAAACACAATGGCGTTTTGGCAGGTCTCCTTGTTCCTAAAGAAATGTAATGTGCAACTACTTGTACGTTTTTCTTTGTAATCCTAGAAACGTAAGATAAACTGTTAATAAGTTTATTTCCTATAAACCCTCTGTCCTTTGCAGGTTGCTGGTATAATCTCAGCTGGGATCGTTTTGATTTCCATCGTTGCCCTGGGGAAACTGCTAGAGCCCTTACAAAAGGTACCATACTTGTCCTCTGCAGCACAGCCACCAGCACCAATCAGATCTGAATGCTCAACTTTGATGAGCAGGATTAATAGCCCTCTTTAAACTATGGTGACTGATACCAGACAAGGCTCTGGTTTATAGGGTGTAATGTTCAGCACTATCTTAATATGCATCTTTGCTTCTGAGTAACACTTTTTCATAATTTTTCTTTACAGTCTGTGTTGGCAGCTGTAGTCATAGCTAACCTGAAAGGGATGTTCATGCAAGTCTTTGATGTTCCCCGTCTGTGGAGACAGAATAAAGTGGATGCTGTAAGTAACCTAATTTTTTCTTTTCTCCTGAATGTTTTTCTCATTTTCTTTTTGCCTTTTAATGCCATCCAAGTTTCTCTTAACTACCACATAAGCAGAATTTTGTAGAGTTAACATCAGAAAACTTTTATGTGCATCCTCAAAATGCAAATGCCATGAGGTCAGTTAAAAATTCCCCCTTTTAGAGTTTTACACAATATTCTGCTTATCTTCTGTATTGGCTATACCCCACAGTAAGGGTGCCAGTCAAGATATTCCTGTGCAGTGATGACTCCTTCATAGCAATTACCATAGTTTAGAGCAATCTTGTGTTGAGATGGCTTGAAAATCAGAATAAAGACAGCCTGTTGCCACCTTTACCGTTCTGCTTTTATCTTTTGCACAGTTTAAATGGGTCAGAAAAGCTGGCCTTTTCTTAATTCATGTACATATATTTATGTTGTTACCACATTAGCCTCCGGTTTTCCTGGATAATCTCAGGTAGTCCTCAGAAAATACGTTTTCTGGTTGTAGTAAGACTAATCCAAGCTAGAATGTGGATTCATTTGCTGTGCCAAGAGATATATGAACAGGTTTTTATTACAAACCACTATAACCATATCTCAGGGTATTTGCCCACATATCCCACTGTCTTCTGTGGCATAGACCTTCAGTGTGGCTGTTAGGGCAGGAAAAGATTGCATGGAAAGTATCTTGTCCATGCAGTCCTTACTATGCATAGATTTTACGGTGTGTGTCATTGGGCAGTACCTGCCTTAGGTAGATGTAAAATTTTTTAGTCAATCATTTATGAGTCCTCTTTATAGGTAAAAGATCCCACTGACTCTAGTGAGAAGTGCAGGCACTCAGCTTTTTGTATGATTTGGTCCACTGGATGTTCTGCCTGGGCAGTGACGTAGAGAGGAACTGAGGAGCCTACTTCAACTGTTCTGCCTGAATATTCATTGGAGACTTTAGAGACTGCCATCAACATGTTAATATAAAATACCTCTCTTTGGAACAGTTCTGATTCTTAGATACCACTGAGGAGCCCCCTTCCTGCTCTGTATGTCTGCAGGTGGGGCATCTCACATTTTACATCTTGGGAGAATAAATTGTTTCCAATTTCTAAAAAACGATTAACAAAGACTGCCACTATCAGAAAGAAAATGCAATAGTTAACTACATTCCCTTCAATTTTACCAAAGTAACTGGATCCTTGAAAAATGTTATGTTAAAAAAACCTTAATCCCTAAAAAGCTAGCTATAAGATAGTGATGGCTAGAAGCCTCTTGGAGGAGGAGGAAGACTTTTGTATGGAAGTCAGCTAATTGCCAGTGTGCAATGATCATCTCCAAACTTAAATTCTTCTGCTACTCATACTGTTCAGTCTAGTGATTCTTTAGCATGACCAGGAGTTATATATTATAATTAAGAGAATTTACATTTGTTATTTTTCTCTCCAGATGATCTGGGTTTTTACATGTGTAGCATCCATCATTCTGGGACTTGATTTGGGATTACTTGCTGGCCTTTTGTTTGGATTGCTGACAGTTGTGCTGAGAGTTCAGTTGTAAGTAACACAGGATCAGAAATAATTGTTACTGTTATACCATGAAAAAGGAAGACAATATGCTGAAAAGCAAGATGATTTGTGGCAGAAAATCTGCTAGGGTCTGCAAAAATTTTGAAATGGAAAAAATCTATTCTTTAGAACAAAACACTGTTTGTGTGCTATCATTTAATTACACTGATTAATGAAAAGATGCATTATTTTATCAGTATTTATTCTGTATCATGTTGGGTACTTTGGTGGTACTTAGCCATATGTTATTTATGCACCCACATATCTGAGTTCTGGAAAGGGATAGGAACTTTCCAGATCAAATATAAAAATATGTATGAATGGCTTCTGTAATGAATTGATCATTATAGTAACTCTTAGCATATAATACTACTACAGTATGTTGCACATGCAAATAACCTTTCCAGTTATTGCTTATACAAGACTGAGTGAAAGAAGAGGAAGAGAAAGCATGAGAATAAGACAAAATTTTGTGCTTGTGGCAGATTTGTTGCTGCTCAAAGAACGTATAGTAGTAGAAAGGTGAGAAAAGTTGGCTTTGCAGAATCTTATTTGGTCATCTTGTTATTTTTCATTGATCTTTTCCCTGAAAATACAACACAACTCATTTCCTTCAGCCTGGAGTACAGAGAGTATGGTTACCAGCAATACCAAAGGATAGTTTGTCAGCAAATGCATAAAAATAAAGCCTTGCAAAAGTTGTTACAGAATAGTAGATTATAAAAAATGGAATTTGAAGATCCTCAAAAAACATTCCCAAATTAAATTTAGATTTGTGAAATCAAAATATAAAAGGGAGGTGAAGCTTTGTAAACTTCAAAACAATTTGTTTCAACTGTTAAAATACATCTGGAGACTGCAAAATATTTTGGTTTTGTTATTGACTGAAATAAAAATCAAAAGGGTTGGACAAAAAGTTTTAAGTAGTCTGAAAAGAATGTATTGTTTCAGTTGATTTGAAATTTAAAAAGTGATCAACTTTTTGCAGAGTAAAAAAATTGTTTTTACATTCAATCCAAATTAATCTGCATTTAAAATATTTTTCTGGTTTGGGAAACAAATGGAACAAGTTAATCATTCAGCTCTACATAAAAATGGTGCAGCAAGTAGGCTGAGACCAAAGTACTTTGCCTCTAAAAGGGACCATTCACTACAAATCAGAAAAAGACCCTTGCGCAGTGACACAAAACAAAGATACAACACTTTTCCAATGAGGCTATTAGTTTGGCAGAAGAGAGTGGACTACAAGGGTCTATGACAGTTTGTATGCAGCAATCCCTTCAATTCTGTGAATGCCCAAGTAAAGTCTGACATTTACCTTCACTGTCTTTTCTTTTTGTTTCTGTTAGTCCTTCATGGGGTGGCTTTGGAAACATTCCTGGCACAGACATCTACAAGAAGGTCAAGGACTACAAAAATGTAAGTAATTGCTGAGTTGTTTCCCTTCAGTCTACAACCCAGTGTAAGATAAAGTTGTGCCTTGCATACTGTGGACAAATTCGAGACAGCCAGCATGGCTTCACCGAGGGCAAGTCCTGCCTGACCAACCTAGTGGCCTTCTATGATGGAGTGACTACAAGGGACGAGCTACGGATGTTGTCTATGTGGACTTCTGTAAGGCCTTTGACACAGTCTCCCCCAACATCCTTCTCTCTAAATTGGAGACATAGGGATTTGATAGGTGGACTGTTCAGTAGATGAGGAACAGGTTGGATGATCACGTCTCAAGGGTAGTGGTCAATGGCTCAATGTCTAGATGGAGACTGGTGATGAACGGTGTCCCTCAGGGGTCTGTACTGGGACCAGTATGCTTTAATATCTTCATCAATGACATAGAAAGTGGGATCAAGGCCACCCTCAGCAAGTTTGCAGATCACACCAAGCTGAGTGGTGCGGCTGAAACACCTGAGGAATGAGATGCCATCCAGAGGGACCTGGACAAGCTTGAGGAATGGGCCCGTGTGAACCTCATGAGGCTAAAGTGCAGAGTCCTGCACCTGGGCCAGGCAACCCTTGGTA